GAAATCTTCTTTTAAAGAACTCAAAGAGCTAGAGCTAAGATATTTAGCATGAAACATCTTCTAATGGGTGTCTACCAAGTTTGTTCAAATAATAGCCCTGTGGTCCAAATTGGCCCGCCCCGGGGGTCATTGGTTTTCCTTATATGTGTATAGCAAAAACTTAAAAAATCTTAAAAATCTTCTTTGAAAAAACTCAAATAGCTAGAGTTTAGATATTAGGCATGAAATATCTTCTCGTAAGTGTCTACCAAGTGTGTTCAAATAAAAGCCCTGGGGTCAAAACTGGCCCCGCCCCAGGGGTGTCATTGTTTTTAGCTATATGTGTATAGTAAAAACTTATAAACTTCTTTTAAAATAGATAAATACAGAATCCATAAAGAAAGCCCAACACGGCAACATTGAAAATGTTGCAGGCTCGGTTTGATTGAGCCTGTTCATGGACGGTACTGGAAAGTGCAAGTTACCGTCCACGCCCCCTAGCACCGGCTTAAGCAGAATTCAACATTTAAACATGAAATAGTAAAATTTTGAATTTAGAAACATCCGCGGATGTGTTCATACGGCGGTTATCATGGAACCTTCAATGTGACACAGTACTGTCAAGTGGTGCAAACTGCCGTCCACGCCCCCTAGCACCGGCTTAGCAGAATTTAATGCCCGTACTCTGCATTATGCCCTTCCCTGTTTTTTTTTTTGGGGGGGGGGGGTCCTCCTGGGCTCCTTGTTTCTGGGTCGGGTGGGGGCTGCGTTCATTGAACGCCGCCTTTCCTTGATGATCTTGTTTATCATATTTTAACATGAACTGGTACAATTTTGAAACATCAGCAGACGTGTTCATATGGCGGTTATCAAGGAACCTTCAATGTGACACGTAAGTGCCATACCATGAAAACGGCATATAATCCCCAAGTAAAAAAATGCGTGTGCCCTAAACGGGAAAACAATATCACAGGTAAGACGTCAAAAGACAAATTTAAAAAGCAGGTCACATATCCTAAGGGTGATTCAACAGTATTGAATTGAGGAATATTGGAACCACCCAACAAGAAAATAGCCGAATAGAAAAAACTAAATTACCACAAGCACAACAATAATGTCGTGCTATCTTTAAAGGTCGGAAATATAACATTTCTAATTGAATGTACGGGGCGACTTTTAACAGCCTCCACACGGCACAAAACAAAGCTTTTCAACAACAGCTTATCAGTCATGTTGTTCCGGACTCTGATGGTTTTCTGAAACTTGTGTCATAAGTAGGTGCTCCCCAAACAAAAGTTTGAACGTTTCTAGTAGTGCCTTTTCTGCCCCCTTTGCAAGGTGCACAAAACATGTAAAGAGCAAAAGAAGTTCATAAGTCTACTCATGGACTTTTATTACAATTTTCTCACAATCTATCCCATTCAGCATTTTTTGCAGAACATCTATTAGAAAGTCCTCTAACAGCTCATTATATTTCTTCTGGGTTGCTGCCCTGCCAGACATAGTAGCATGGCTGTTCATTGATATTTAGTTAGGCACATGACCTCATGCTTCACTGAGCGAGTCGTCAATGGCACTTAAAATTTCTTTAAAAGTGTCAAGTGCACTCTGTGCTGATTAAGTGGATATCTGTTGTAGTCCCAGAACCGATATTGAATCAGTTATATAGCATAAAATATTTCTCATTTCTGACCGAACTTTCATGTTTCATCACTAAGAAACGATTGTTCCTTTTTGCTGGAAGTTCTTTTTACCACAACCAGCTGTCGGATAATGTACACAAAACAGTACAATATATGTACGTACCAATCTTCAACTCAGTACGCTCCTCACGTTTTATTTGAGGGCATGAAAAACTTCAGTTGTAAGATCTTAAGTATGTGTGTACTTTCGACTCTTGAAAATAAAATTTCTCATCAGGAAATTCCATGTTGCAGTTTTGTAGGACAGTTCGTACATTTGCCTGATCATCTGGCCTAGTTCTGCAAGTAAATACTGTACTTAAAGGGATTCGCCTGCAAATAAATGACAATAATATTAAAATGACTATAGACTCAAATCATACTAAAATGACTTTTCCTAAAGTCCCAGCATGAATTTCTGCATAAATTCTATATATTTTGGGTTTGAAGGGTAAGTGTATCTATATATGTTGAACGAAATTCAGACGCCGACAGAATCACCGAGTAGTTTTAAAACATGTCATATGACTGAAGTTACAATCACAGATATTGTGTATATTGTATGATTGAAAAGTCTAAATCATTCGTTTGTCACGTTCTTTAACCTTTCCAGAGTTCACTGCGACAACTATATTATGAAATCTTAACGCTCTAATCTGATCCACGTGGGTCAAGTTAGGAAACAACCATTTTATTATTTATAAAAAGTAAAGTTTTGCTTGTATATTCATTTTCAGGACATTTACAGAATAATGGATTCAAAAAGAAAAACAATGAACATTTTGCCTGTGTCTCCCTTTGAAGATATATTTAAAAAAAAACATCTTCTCCATGTTCTCCCTCCTGTTAATATTATCGATCAATATCATGTATAAAGGAAACAACATCTTATAATCTTTGCAATTCTTGAAAAAAAAGTAGAGGTATTGTTATAGTCGGGTCGGCGTTGCCGTTGCCGTTCCCGTCCGCAAACTTGTACCTGGATCATAACTTTTTTATTTCTTGGTGTATTGTCTTCATACTTGGCCACAACAACCCTTGGGACAAGACCTTTCAGTAGACCACACTAACCTTGACCTTCATCCATAAATGACCTTGACCTTCAAGGTTAAAAGTCCAATTTTTGCTTGTGCATGCTGTTATTGACTGTAACTTTGTTATTTTTGAATGGATTGTCTTCAAACTTGAAAAAAACAGCATGACCTTGACATTCACTCATAAATGACCTGGACTTTGAAGGTCAAATTATTGAAATTTTCATTTTTTTGGCTATTATTGGCTGTAACTTTGTTATTTTTGAATGGATTGTCTTCAAACTTGAACATAATTATCTTCAGGGATATCTCTTTAAAATAACTAGACAGACATTGACCTTCACTTATAAATGACCTTGACTTTGAAGTTCAAATTATTGAAATATTAATTTTTTTGGCTATTATTGGCTGTAACATTGTTATTTTTGAATTGATTGTCTTGAAACTTGAACATAATAATCTTCAAGGATAACTCTTAAAAATATACCGAAAGACCTTGACCTTCACTCATTAATGACATTGTCTTTGAAGGTCAAATTATTGAAATTTTCATTGTTTTGGCTGTAACTGACTGTAACTTTGCTATTATTGAAGGGATCAACTTCATATTATAACGGAACATTGTTGTTTATCAAACCCAAATTTGCTTGGGCTCTTTAATGACCTTGACCTTGAAGGTTAAATTACTGAATTTTCTCAGATTTGTGCATTAAATGACCATATATATTTATTGGTGTGTGGTGTGTATATTTATATTTATACATATCTATCATCATCATCATCAACAAGAACAACGACGACGACGATATTGCATGTTTCTATTTTTAGAATTGCGTGTTTCTATTTATAGAATTGCGTGTTTCTATTTATAGAATTGCGTTTTTCTATTTATAGAATTGCGTATTTCTATTATTAGAATTGCGTGTTCTATTTATAGAATTGCGTGTTACTATTTTTAGAATTGCCTGTTTCTATTTATAGAATTGCGTGTTACTATTCATAGAATTGCGTGTTGCTTTTTATAGAATTGCTTCTCACTATCTATAGAATTGCATGTTTGTATTTATAGAATTGAGTGTTTCTATTTATAGAATTTAGCCTTTCTATTTATTGAATTGCGTGTTTCTATTTATAGAATTGCGTGTTTCTGTTCATATATATATATATATATATATATATATATATATATATATATATATATATATATAAAATTTGGAGAAAATAAACGTTCATACAGTGCTAAAGTATAAATACCCAAGTACTTTCGGCGTATTATGCCTTCATCAGGGGTGTATTACATGTATAATGTGCACACAATCGAGCACAAAATCTCAATACGTGTGTACTGTATAGTATCAAAAATTGAACTGAAACACAGTCGCTAGAAAGGTGATAAAATTACATCGATTATGAATAGACCGTTATTGAATGGTCATTGTGTAGTACTTTACAAAAGAGAATATAGCCTGCGGTCATTATGGCATAAACTCGGTTAAATATATCTATAAAACTGTGTTTAAAAGAAAAAATATATATAAACTAAAAAAATAAAACTTCACATATAAGGGCGTTTTGTGTTTTTATTACTATAAGTATGATGTAAGAAAATGCAAGTTACAAACAGTATGATGTTATATGAAGTGGAAATTTACGATAAGGTGAAAGTAAAAACGAAGCGCTCAGGCAAGGGAAAAATAGCCCACCCCGACACCGCCTGATGACTAAAGTTAGGTTTTAAAGTTTGTCAAGAATGGGCGAGAATAAGTGTGTCAATTAGTCTCCTTTATTGATTCCTGATGGCTCTAGCGTATTCAGTCGGCGAATCCAGTATGTCTCGCGTGATTTCCGTGTTATATCTGACCACTTTGTGTTATGTTCAATACAACAGAGGGACACGTCTTTAAAACTGTGTCCCTCAAGGTGAAAATGTTCAGCAACTGGAGATCTGTTAAATTTTCGCGTTTTCCAGTCAGAGCGGTGTAAGTTCATTCGTTTATTTAATGGAAAAATTCTGGAAACAAAGTGATCCTTCGGAAGCACTAATCACAACAAAATAACATAAGAATTGCAGACTCGGTTTGATTGAGTCTGTACATGAGGGATAATGAATAATTGCAACATCCCTCACGCCCCCTAGAAGTTTGGTTTCACCGACATATTGTTTGTTACACACTTTGCAAGAAATAAGATAAATAACGTTAGCCGTTTTACAATTCATTATGTCTTTGAGAGATGTTTTGGCCCCTATTTTTGAAGAGAATGTTTTTGTAAGGAGCATGACAAAGTATCCTCTGTTGTTGAAGACATGTTGAAACAAGGATACATCTCTGAGAAAAACAAAGACTACTTAATAGTCCCTAAGCCTAAAGCTGGTAGATTTTACCTTCTTCCTAAAATACACAAAGACGGAATCCCAGGCCGCCCCATTGTATCTGCCAACGGTCACCCAACAGAACGTATCTCAGAATTTGTTGACCACCATCTTCGGCCATTTGTATGCGCTTTGCCCTCTCATTTGCAGGACACCACTGATTATCTCAGAAAATTAGAATCTCAGAAAGATTTACCTGACCAAACCCTTTTGGTGTCTATGGATGTTACTGCCTTATACACTAACATCCCCCACGAAGATGGCATTGCAGCGTGCAGAGAAGCATGGGATTCTCGTATAATAAAGAATCCTCCCACAGAAACACTTATCGAACTTCTCGTACTTATTCTGAAATGCAACAACTTTGTTTTCTGTGACAAACATTTCCTACAGGTACAGGGCACGGCTATGGGGACTAAAATGGCACCATCTTACGCCAACGTGTTTATGGGCAAATTAGAAGGACAACTGCTAGCTGCTAGTGATGTTCCGATTGTCGCAAGTCGCCGATTATCACTTACTGTTATGTAAAACGACAATAATCGATTCACAAAAGTTTGTTCCGCGACGTCGTCAAAAATGTTTTAATTATCAAAGGGAATTTAATTCTGACGGTAATTTTCCTTTAGGAACACCTCGCGGATCGCAAAATATCACTCAGAGACAATTTGGAGTTGAACAGGATCAATAATTAAGTGATGTAAAACAAAAGAAATATAATGTGATGAAAATGGTATTATTTGATATCCATTGAAAAATAAAATCTATTTCGTAAAATTATGACTATATAAGGTTAAAACTGTGTTGAAAAGTGCTAAATGAAGTTCATGTTATTAAATATAATCAAGTGCCTTGGTAAGAAATGTTACTTCCCTATTATTTTTTAACGCGACTTTATTCAAAAGTTATCGATTATGTCCCATCCGACTGAACCGATTATCGATTGGGACAAATTTCATCCGATTTCCATCACTACTAGCTGCAGTACCTCTTAAACCATTCAGTTGGTTACGCTATATAGATGACATTGACATGCAATGGTGTCACGGGGAAGAAGCTTTGCAAGATTTTCTTTACAGAGCTAATACTTTTCACAAATCTATAAAGTTCACCACTGAGGTATCAAACGAACAACATGTTTTTCTCGACACAGTATCTCATATTAAAGACAATCATATAATTACTGATTTGTATTCAAAACCCACCGATAAACATCAATACCTTCTTCCAAGCAGCTGCCACCCTCGACACTGTTGTAAGAACATACCATACAGTTTGGCTTTGAGAATCAAACGAATATGTTCAAATCCCAGCACGTTCTATATCAGAGCAAAAGAACTGTCTGAACATCTTAGGAAGCGAGGATACAAGGAAGAAGACATTGCAAACGCGATCTTTAATGCAGACAGCAAGCACAGGAAGGACTTACTAGAGTACAAACATCAATCTAGTGGTTCTACACAAAATAAAATTCCATTTGTGCTCACATATCACCCAGACTTACCTAACACTAGAGCCATCATTGACAAACATTGGCCAATTATTGAGTCTTCACAGAAACTTAACAAGATGTTCCCAACTAAACCAACCATTGCATATAGGAGACCTAAAAGCCTCAGGGACATACTTGTTCGAGCCCAACTGAGACCAATAATGACAGATAAAGAAGGTCAGTCCGGACCATGTGGCACACCAAGATGCCAAACCTGTGCTGTCATGCTCCTTACAAAAACATTCTCTTCAAAAATAGGGGCCAAAACATCTCTCAAAGACATAATGAATTGTAAAACGGCTAACGTTATTTATCTTATTTCTTGCAAAGTGTGTAACAAACAATATGTCGGTGAAACCAAACTTCCATTAAATAAATAATGAACTTACACCGCTCTGACTGGAAAACGCGAAAATTTAACAGATCTCCAGTTGCTGAACATTTTCACCTTGAGGGACACAGTTTTAAAGACGTGTCCCTCTGTTGTATTGAACATAACACAAAGTGGTCAGATATAACACGGAAATCACGCGAGACATACTGGATTCGCCGACTGAATACGCTAGAGCCATCAGGAATCAATAAAGGAGACTAATTGACACACTTATTCTCGCCCATTCTTGACAAACTTTAAAACCTAACTTTAGTCATCAGGCGGTGTCGGGGTGGGCTATTTTTCCCTTTCCTGAGCGCTTCGTTTTTACTTTCACCTTATCGTAAATTTCTACTTCATATAACATCATACTGTTTGTAACTTGCATTTTCTTACATCATACTTATAGTAATAAAAACACAAAACGCCCTTATATGTGAAGTTTTATTTATTTTTTTAGTTTATATATATTTTTTTCTTTTAAACACAGATATATTTAACCGAGTTTATGCCATATTGACCGCAGGCTATATTCTCTTTTGTAAAATACTACACAATGACCATTCAATAACGGTCTATTCATAATCGATGTAATTTATCACCTTTCTAGCGACTGTGTTTCAGTTCAATTTTTGATACTATACAGTACACACGTATTGAGATTTTGTGCTCGATTGTGTGCACATTATACATGTAATACACCCCTGGTGAAGGCATAATACGCCAAAAGTACTTGGGTATTTATACTTTAGCACTGTATGAACGTTTATTTTTCTCCAAATTTATTGTTTATTTGGATCCAGTGTTTTTAAAAAGGTATTTTGTAGATGCAAATATTTTTCACAAACCTATATATATATATATATATATATATATATATATATATATATATATATATATATATATATATATACAAAATAGATAAATAAAACTAATGTGACAAGACAGAAACAACTTAATTTATAAAAAGGAAACGTTAAGATATGTTCAAACCTTTCTATGTTTGCGTTTAGAAAGAGTAAAAAGTCGAGCGTTGCCCCTGCCCGGCGGTGGCTCTTGTGAAAGAATTGAGACAAGTTTATCTTAATCGGCACAGATTGTGGTGGCATTAAAATATCTATGCTTGTGAAAACTTGTTCGGGCAAGTAAATTTAAGAAAAACAAAAGAATAACACAAGCCAGAATGGCCTATTGGTAACAAATCTTAACATTCTTTGACTGCACTAAGATTCACCTACTTCCATAGCTGCTATTTTATCCAATCCATGTAACACGACAGGAATATCAAGATCAGACACAGTAATGTCCCTTCAAGTACTTACCTGGATGTTGTGTATAATGATATATGTTCACAAGAAAACTCCGGGGTCACTTGTATCACTTTCCGGTTTAGAGTCAGATATCTGGGCTGCAAATCATAAGACACATCATTGTTCAAGCTTTGTGTCAATTTAAAAAGAAAACATTTGAGGCAAGTGCTTAAAAATGGTTAGTTCCAAAAATCTTGAATAAAAACGGGATCCCTCGGAAGCTTATTTACAACAAAATTATATGGTGATTGCAGACTCGGTTGATTGAGTCTGTACATGAGGGATAATAAAAGAGTGCAACATCCCTCACGCCCATAGCACCGGCCTTAGCTGTGCTCAATTTTCAACGGAAATAAAAAATACCCCACCCACTCGTATCTTAACAATCACATCCTTGATTAGCACAGTACTTTTTTATTTACTCATATTACAGTACAACATGGCACTATACGATTGTAAAACATATTCTTCATATAAGTAAAACATCATATTACTTACGTGTATTTCTGCAATAACTTGGGGGGAATTATTGTCGTCTGCGCAAAAGTTTCTTCAAATCGAAAAGTATTTCAGCAGGGGAAGTAATTTACCGAGCATGGAATAATTGGGGCTCACAGTAGTTACGAACCATAGCGCATGAATACTTTTTTTCAAAATGAAATCCTGTAGTAGTGGTATACCACACTAAGTGAAATTATTTATATATATGTATACATAATTATGCAAATAAAACAATTTTCAAACATAGAAGAATATGTAAAATACGTATTGCATATATTTGTACATATTATATGTTATCATTAAAATATATGCATTCATTTCTTATTGTATAATTTGACCTAAACTTTATAAAGGTTTTTTTTTATTATCTCCGTTTATTTACATGAAATGTTAAATTCGGATATATCTTTATAAATAATGCTTTTTGGAACCTACAATATTGATCAATATTAATTTAAACTTCATAATAAGGATTTAAAACCTTCAAAAATTGTTTTACAGAATCTTTAAAGTGAATACAATTAAAAGCACTGAAATAGTGGCAATCTTATGTTTCAAATATAAATTCAAATACTCCTATTAGGAAAGTATGGGATGCAGTACGAAAAATAAGTGGTAAGTATAAAAAGAGTCCAACTGTTCACTTAAAAACTGGTGATGGCCAATATGCCAAAACAAAAACGGATATTGCAGAAACTTTGGCTAAAACGTTTGAAAAGAACTCTTCTTCAAGCAATTATTCAAATAAATTTCAACAACATAAAAGTAAAGCTGAGAAAGAGCATATTAATTTTGCCTCAACAAACGACGAATACTATTAATTCCCTTTTCTCTATTGATGACTTAATTTATTCAATCAAAACTGCAAAAGATAGTGCTGCAGGACGAAATTTACTACCAGTTTCTTAAACATTTACCACCCCAATCCCTAGATTTGCTTCTTGAAATTTTTAACATAATTTGGGTATCTGGTGAATTTCCCAACACTTGGAAAAATGCGTTGGTTATTCCTATCCCTAAACCTGGAAAAGATTCAACTGACCCTACAAATTATCGTCCAATTTCACTTACAAGTTGCCTCTGCAAAACATTCGAGAGAATGATAAATAATCGGTTAGTTTGGTATCTAGAAAATAATGGAATTATCACTACTTTTCAGTCAGGTTTTCGTAAACAGCGAAGTACAAACGATCATCTTGTACGACTTGAGACTTTTATTAGAGAAGCCTTTGTAAATAAACAACACCTGGTATCAATTTTCTTTGATCTTGAGAAGGCTTACGACACTACTTGGAAATATGGTATCCTAAAGGATGCTGGACTTAATGGCAGACTTCCTCTTTTCATTTCTGGTTTTTTAAACGATAGGCACTTTAAAGTAAGACTTGGTTCAACTTTTTCTCAGGACCACCAACAAGAACAAGGTGTTCCTCAAGGAAGCATACTTTCTGTTACACTTTTTGGCCTTAAAATAAACAATATTGCTAGCGCTCTCACACCAGGCATAGATTGTTCTCTATATGTAGACGATTTTCTTATCTGCTATCGATCGAAAAGTATTAGAACAACTGAACGGCAACAAAATTTAGATAAAATTCAAAAATGGGCAATAGAAAATGGTTTTAAATTTTCAAAGTCAAAAACTCAATGTGTTCATTTCTGTCGATTGCGGAAGCAACATAATGACCCTGAACTTTACATATCTGGTTCTAAAATTCCAGTAGTTGATGAAGTTAGTTTTTTGGAATTATATTTGATAAAAAACTTTCTTTTATACCACATATTAAACATTTGAAAACTAAATGCCTAAAAGCTTTAAATTTACTTAAGGTTTTATCAAGTACAAATTGGGGATCAAACTCTTCCACATTATTGAAATTATACAGAAGTCTTATCCGATCAAAATTAGATTATGGTTCTGTAGTATATGGGTCTGCAAGAAAATCATATCTTCAAATGCTAGATACCATACATCACCAGGGTTTACGTTTAGCTTTAGGTGTTTTTCGCACTTCACCTGTAGAAAGTCTATATGCGGAAGCTGGGGAACCATCGCTTCATCTTCGTCGAAAAAAGCTATCACTTCAATACGCAACTAGAATTTCATCTAATAGCAAAAATCCAGCTAAAAATATTATTTTCAAACCAAGTTATACTGAAAAATTTGTTAACAAACCAAAGGAAATTAAACCATTAGGCCTTCGTTTAAAAGATGATTTAGATAAACTTAAAATTAATCCAGACAGTATCCTTTAAAATGACGATGAGGATGTTCCACCTTGGACTTATAATTCCCCGAAAATAAATATTAACCTTTCAAATATAAAAAAGTCATCAAATTCACCTGAATACTTCAAAGAGAAGTTTCTAGCAATTAAGGAAGAACATTCAAAAGAAGGTTGCAAAGTAGGTGCGGCTGTGTTTGAAAATAATTTTACATCTAGTATGAGGTTACCAGATAATGCATCAATTTTTACTGCTGAAGCAAAAGCTATCGATTTAGCATTATCATACAGAGCACAGCATACCCACGATAAATTTGTGATATTTTCTGACTCGCTTTCTGTTTTAATATCCATTAAAAATGAAAAATCTGACAATATCATGGTAAAGAAACTTCTTTTACGATTTCATGATATACTAAAAACAAAATATGTTAAATTATATTGGATTCCAAGTCATGTTGGAATACGAGGAAATGAAAAAGTAGATGCTTTAGCTAAACAATCATTAAATTTTAAAAAAACTGACTTATTGTTACCTGCTTGTGATTTTAGACCGGCTATAAATAAACTCGTATCATCTGAATGGAAAGCAAACTGGGACAATGCCGTTTTTAATAAACTTCACGATATAAACCCATCTCTTGATGTGTCACCATCTCTATCTCTGTCGAGCCGCCGTGATCAAACAGTTCTTCTTCGATGCCGAATTGGACACACTAAAATTACCCACTCTTATCTCCTTACAAATGACAATGCCCCTTTCTGTGTAGGTTGAAATGAAAATTTTACTGTCAAGCATTTTCTTCTTGAATGTCATGATTTTTCACAGGCCCGTAATAGATTTTATTCTGTAAATTCACTCAAAGAACTTTTTAATACAATTCCATCAAAAAACATAATTGATTATTTGAAAGAGATAAACTTGTATTCTAGGATCTAATTGGTTCATTTCTATTGTCATTAACAAAGTTTTACATAACATTTTAAGCCTTTAATAGCATTCGGCACGAGATGGCCAGTTATGTGTTGACGTGCCGTAAAAATCCAAACAAACAAAGAAATAGTATTTTCATAAATTTATATTAGGTAATAAGATAAAACGTGCTCTGTTAAATGAACTTTATAAAGCTAAAAAATGTTAATTTTCATTTTATACTTTGAAAACTTCAGTTTCTCTCGATCGAGGAGAACCTAATTTCCATTCTTCTATCGATATTTTCATTGGTTGATCTAAAATAGTTCCCTGACATTAGCCCACTGAAACGGGGTTTTTAAGAAATAAGCTAGTGGAAATAACAGAATATTGATGGTCTTTATAAAATGAATCGTAGCTCTTATTCTAAGATTTTTTACGATACACAAACGTTTTTTAACTATTTCATTGATAAAATGTGATTTTTTGTCCCAGTTGATAGTAATTAATGCGCATTTGATCATTTTTTCATGCAAGATTTAAGTTGCGAAAGATACAAAATCAGCTGTTCTGGGTAATATAAATGAAGGGTCTATCTTATTTTTAATGAAAAAATCTGTTAAAAGCAAATGATTAAGCATGATAATGCAGGTCACCATTTACTTAAGGCGACATTTTGTATCGTTCTTTGATTTTTGATAAAAAATGATGAAACTAATTTTGTCGTAAAAAAGTTTTATCACACCACTAATCTCATTAGGCAAATTAATATTCAGAAATTCAATCAATCAGCACTAGCCAATGGACATGATTTGTTGTTTATTTATCATCAAACGACGAGATATAACGATAGAAACACAACAATTTGGTAATTAAGTGTCTTCTTTTGTAATGGCAATTCGTTTCACACAGAAATACCTTACAATATATCGAACTATCTGGCTGTTCTTAATGTAATATATAATCAGATTCTATACCGACTTTCTATTAGAAATTGTCCTTTGCAATATACAGTATGTGCACCATAATATATGCATGTATTTAGTGAAATTTGTTATAAAAATTTAAGTAAGGTTTAATGATTAAATGGCAAGTAAAAAGAATGAAGATCTTTCATCTTAAGATGTATTATCTATTGTCTGTAGACATCGACTTGGTGCCAAGGTGTTTATATTTTTTGTCTTTTCACTCCAGGTTATTTCATATCATTAATTGTTTTAACATAACCTTACCCTCATCCCACAATAAAAGAGTAGAAGATTGCACTTCTGAATGTAAAAGGCTCTGGAAATAAGTTTTATAATTTCTTTTTTATATCTTTTTCTCATATTTGTTCCATAGTGTTTTTGTCTTTGTGATTTTATTCCGTTTCATTTTTTTAAATGATACTGGTCAATATCCCACAGCAAGCAGCAATAAAAGAAATGTCAAAACTTACATGACGCAAAACTACATCGTATCATCGCATCATTTTATCAACTGATTAATTCAATCCGTCAAATAATTGTCGTCTGCATATATGGTCATTTCAAATGATTAAAATGATTGATATATGCATTTAATCTTTTTAAACTGCTTATCAAACAAATATGAAGAAATCAACAAATATTTTTGTATAATTTATTTAGTTATATAGTATATTGTACAAAGAAGATACCTTTTTTTAGTTTATTAAGTAAAAGCCCATTTGTTCATATCGATATTAGGATTTCAATTTTTTTTTTCAAATTCACTGTGTGTTATTGACTCATGTAAATGTTTATAGTTCACATGCAAATATCTCCACTCTAAATCCAGGATGGGTTCCAGTCCAGGTGTTGGGTTTGAACCTAATGTACCGGCACGTCTGTGGTACAGCGAAAACTTGCTTTGCTGTAGTACTGTACTGTTTCCCGCTCCCATTGAAAAGCTATAGTTATAAGAATTATTTCATATATTTTAAACATTTTTTTCATAGATTTTTGAAGTATAGTTTTAGTTAAAACAAAAGTGGGTAAAGTTTCAATATCTGGCAAATATTGCTATCTGTTACAGATAGCAATATAAGCAGCACGCTTCCAGATTCATACTAATTTTCATTAATATTTTTAAAATGTATTAAAAAGTAAAGTATTGTGTTTAAACAGAGAAAATAATTTACACATTGCAAACAGCAAATTACCGAAGAGATCAAAATAAGCAAAAAAACAACTACTACGTTTGGAACGCAATGGAAATACTAAAAAATCAGTGCTTAATCGCACATAACATGTAAATTATTACTTGAATCCTTTTACTCTTCTTAAAATCTAAGTATATTTTCTTAAGTTTTTTAAAAATATTTTTGCGCATCTGGAGACATGCAACTTTAAAGGAGAATAACATGTCAAATGAATGAGTTTTTTATCCTGAAACAATAATGTGATATAGATAATGTCAACGGTTATACAGGTTTTTGAAAAAGACATATTCAATGACGATACAGTAGATAATGTATCAACATTTCATTTGTACGATAATGCTCATCCTATTCAATAAATTGTAACAATTTACAATGTTTTTGATATTACAAACCTCTGCAGTTCCGTTTACAGTTTGTACATTGGTGAATTTATTCCCGTCAAGACTACAGTCCAAATAAAAAGTTGAAAGGGTGTAAGTGGTGGAGTAGCCTTGGGTCGACACGGCTTGCACATTTCTCAAGTTTCCAAGGTCAACCTGACAATAGGAAAAAATAAGACCTAGCTGATTTTAGATTAGAAATTCTCAGAGTATTAGACTTTGGCGCTATAGTCAGTTTGTATTACACGAAACACACGCTCTGTTAACCATATTATGTCAAAGTTTATTTGTCATATTCAGACGCGCTTTAAGTTGTGATGGAAATGGAATGCGTTGAATAAAGTTTCTCAATAACATCATAAAGCGTGAAGCTATTACTATATAATTAATGTTAGAGGATTAACGGCCATAGTCGACAAAAGTTTAAACCTTAATTATTACTGATTTTTTTTGTGACAATTTTCCCGCTTTACCGGTGTTAAGGCTCCTGAGATAAGAGAAGATGCAGTTTGTATAACCACTCATGAAAAGATTCCATCATAGACGGTAGTGGTATGAGCAAGCTACCTTGCACTCTCTCAGCAGTGAATTAATATGAATAAGCAGAATTTAATTCAATCATAAAATTATTACTTTGAATACATCGAAAAAAAAGATGTATACATTTGAATCATTCAGTCATATTAACATTTCAGGAAAACAACAAAAAACCAACACAGGAACATCTCGAATTTCAGAAATACCCTACAAAGCTAAAAGAAAATGATGAATATAATTGATATTATAATATATTTAAAACTAAATTTTTGTCTACCTGTAACCAAGAGCTTTTACCCTCTCCAATCCATCCAGTTGAGCTTCCAAGTCTTCCTTCAAATGCTTTATGATCACTACTCCCGTACGAGTAATGTCCTGCCATCTGGGCGTCCGGAATTTTCTTTACGTTGAAAGCCACACCTACTGTCTGACTGGCGCATACTGTTAATTATAGTTAAGAGTAATTTTAATGGAATACAAAATTGTGCAATAGTAAATACGAACTTTCGTTACACGTGTTAATGATAACATCTGTCAATATTATCGACTAACGCCAAAACACTGTCTGTCGGGATGCTTTCACTTTTTGGCAAATGCAAATATTTTCGAGTTCATATAACTTACAACATAAAGAAATAACTTAATTACCGTGACATCATGTTGTCTAAAAATCACATCTTGAATGTCAGAATTTTTTTTATTATGGAACGCTTGGTTACCATCAAAGAAATTTGTAGGGATTTACCTATATTGCAGGTTTTCCCGCCATATTTTGTAGTACACTGGCACTTGTATGTTCCAAAGTCGTCTGTACAAGTACCACCATTAAGGCAAGGGCTAGATTTACACTGGTCTCGTTCTGTAAACAAAATTAAAATCCGTAAATAAGGAAAGTGCCTAACACAATCGAAGCAATAAAAAAGTTGCATTTTAAATATCGCAGTCATGAGATGATGATAACCTCATTAACATAGATCTTAACAGACAACCTACTTATATTTGATATTAAATCTAAACATGCTTGGTCACTTTCTTTTTGATTCCATAAATGTTTGCTCCCATTGAGATCAGTCATAATGCATTTAACCGTTTATCAAAATGTTATGCAGACAATAAATAACGAAAGGATATTTTTCAAGTAATTAAAGAGTTAATATGCTTATACAAAGCACATATATCCTCTAATGGTTCTTTTGATGTTTTTTTTTTCGACTAGAATATCTTCAACAACAATCAAGGTCTATTTCACGTAATATTTGACATACGATAATGTATGAACATCTCTTTTACAATGAAGATAAGTGTTTACATCTGTAAATTATGTTATTTCTACTTTGGTAGTATAAATGTTGGGTGCATTTCTACAAACTTAACTACACTAGTAAACTTTTACAAATAGTATGCATGTACTATAAAAACGGAGAAAGGATCTAATTGTTAAAAGTATATCATTAGGTATAAAGATTTCTGACAGTTTGTTTTTACGGCATGAATAATATATAAACGATTGTTGGTCACGATTAACCAATGAAAAGCGACGTTACAAACATGCAGTATGATATGTGCACTATACCTCGTGTGTCAATGGTGAAAGTTTGGTCGGCATATTTTCCGTGTTCATCAATTACACGTATTCCAAACTCGTAGGTTGCGTCAACATCAGGGGCTGTACCGTTCAGTTCACCCGTAGCTTTGTCTAAATACACACCTGGAGGAAATGCTCCAGATACTTTCTCAAAACGAAGGTGAGTTCCTTCAGGATCCTACGAATAAATAGCATTACTTTATTATCATTATTAGTTACTATCATTGTAGTTAATAAGTTTTTATTATTATAATTATTGTTAAAAATACCATTTTCATAATATCTGAGTGTATATAGACTTCAATCCTTTTGTTAATTTTTTAATATTAAACCATGAACATAATATTTGACTTATCATGGCTCCAGACATTATATATATTTACTTTGACATTTATATTTGTGTAAACTGTTTTTGATAATAAATATACGGTGTCCTGCTAGGTCCATAACGACACTCGCATAACTCGAAACAACAAAAAGACGAAACTACGATAGATGATGGACTCGAAACAACGAAACGCTTGTGAAAAGTCGAAGGTACGATGGGGAAAAGTCTAAATAACGAAACTATGAAACTTTATATGATTTCGTGTTTTCACCATCGTACTTTCGACCTTTCACGATTGTTTCACTCTTGTTGTTTCGAGTTGTGTGTCGCGATGGCCCTAACGGGTCACCGTATAAAGGCGACTCAATAGCATAATAAAAAAGAATGGAAACTTAGTGATTTTTATTTGCTTGGGTCGTTAGACCAAACAAATAATGGTAGGGAAATTTCAGACCCTGATGTGCTTATCTACAAATACCGAAGGTAGTCCTAACTCATCGAAGCGGTTACTTCCCTTTAAATGTACACTTACGCCGAAAAATTAAGGGGAGATCACTGCATAAAGATTGTCAAATGACAGGCGCAATAATTTTCGTAAAGAAAAAACAGTTCCCGATTGGTCGAAGATTTCTAATATTGTGTTTTTCTTAAAGATATACATGCTTATATTAAGTTCCATGATAATTTACATCAGTGTTAAATAACAGGTTTAATGTGAACAAAATATATCGAAATTAATAAGGGTTACAAACCCTAATTTAGAATAATATGGTTTTCTTCTGGCTGTTATTTTATAACTTTCCCGTGGACGCTGGCTTTGGAAGCTAGAAGTCTGAAGTTCAAATCCCAGTTAAGGCAACTCATCTCATGTTTTTGTTTTTTGTAATCGTTTAAGCAAAATAAACATTGAATTGAATATCAGTGTTGAAATTAGTCTTATAGCCAATTAACTATAGTTATAATACTGGAAACAGCATTGGTGAAACTATACAAACAAACTGATTTATAATCTCACAACCTTCACCTTTCTGACATTCTGAGACCCAAACAAATTCAGCGCTTTCTGTGCTTTTGATTTTATACTTTTATGTATGAATAGATTCACTCACTATTGCCATCAATTGAATTGAGACCACATCTCCTCCCAAGAAAGTTCCGAGAGGTCCGTATGGTGCTTTCTGTCCCCAAATAGGGGGTTGACTGTTCACAACCTATAACGGTACAATGTATCAAGGTAACCTGATTATGTAATATGTAACATGATTATATAACATGAGAACATAACATGATAATGTAACATGAGAACATAACATGAGAACATAACATGATTATGTAACATGAGAACATAACATGAGAACATAACATGATAATATAATATGATACTATTATAACGAAGCATGAAAATCGCATGATGAAATAACATAATAATGTTAGAATTGCGTGATGATATAAAATGATGATAAAAATGAAAACTTTACATGATAACATGACATGGTAAAGATCATAAGGTTACAATAAAAAATATAATGTAATAATATAAATAATAATGTAACATTATGATATAAAATGATGGTGCAATATGATAAATTAACATAATAAGAAAATTATCATGAAGCACGCTTATTTATCATGAATATGCATGATGATATGCTATGATTATGCAAGGTGATAATTTAATATTTGTTTTGTTTGTTTCATTTTACGCCTTTTTTCCAACAGTATTACAGTCATATAGGCGGGTAGTTTCCTAACCATCGTTCCTGGAGAGTTACACCAGTACTAGACTACCAGTACTAGACTACCTTCCTCCTTGCTAAACTACCAAAGCATCTCCCAGGGATCGTACCCACGCCAGAGAGGTAACTGGATTAGAAGTCATCGACTCTAACCCCTCGACCACGGAGGCGGTTTATATAATGTAATATGATATTGCAATATGATAACATAACTGGATGATATAACAAGATTATGTAACATGATATTAATACATGATTAAGCCAGATAATAAAACATTTTATAATAACACGACTTTTGGAAAAGATACTTAAATATTTGCATAAAAAATTGTTGAACTTACTTCAAACAATTTCAACATGTCAGTGCGGCCTATGAAAACCGTGCCCCTATCTCCAGGAGTCATGTAGATATTTCCTCCATTAGGGCCAGCCTGAACATAACAAATCAATTATAGAAAATAAATAATGAGGACGCATCCACTGTTGACATAAGTACCGTCTTTAAAACTTATATTACAATTACACCTCTATAAAATGAATATAAACGTCAGAAATGAATATGAAACTTGTGTTTAATGATGTTAAAACAATTGATTTAAAACTTGTTGAATGCTTATTATGTGAAGCATTGAATCTGACATGAATTGTTAAGTAGTAAACAAAAAAAGTTGTAAATAAATAAAAAAATAGATAAATAAAAAGGTTTTTATAAATTAAAATGATAGCATTGTTAGGTCAATGGGGCTTTTATTTGGTCAAAACTTCCTGACAGTACGAAACTACTATTGGAGAGAAGATTTAGTTTGGTTTAATTTCACTTAACTAACTAACTAACTAACTAACTAACTAACTAACTAACTAACTAACTAACTAACTAACTAAACTAACTAACTAACTAACTAACTAACTAACTTACTTACTTACTAACTAACAAACTATCTAATAACTAACTAACTACATGTAACTAACTTACTAACTAACTAACCAAACAAATAAATAACTAGCAAGTTAGCTACAATGCACCTACCTACCTAACTAAATAAAAGAAAATGAATAAACAAATAAAAAACAAATAAATAACAAATAAATAAATTAATAAATGTATAAATTAAAAAGCAGTGACAGCAAATTGGTTAATAATAATATAAACACAAAACCAAGTAAAACATTGTGTTGAAAATAGTTCACAACGTTTATCTTACCGCAATTGTCAGATTCCCGCCAGTTTCTGCGGAGACCACAACACTTGGGTATCGAACTTCGAAAAAACTGAAATAATTAGAAAATCTTAAGATACATGTAAATATTTATAATTGTTTTTACTCCAAAAAAATTACAACGTGTTTTTTCAGCGTTTTGATTTATCAATGGTTTGTCGTTTCAATATTACATCACTACTATTACTCAAACACATTTATTTATAATCATAAAATATATTTAAGTACCATTTTATCGAAGGATGAAAATAAATAAACATATATAGAGAGATTTTAAGTAGATTTACCTTGCTTCAGTCCTTAAAAACAGTGCAAATAAAGAAAGAAACAAAAGTTCCGTCGCCATGATTATTTTTTAAAATGGCCGTCGTTGTTTTATTTCAATTTCTAGTTTTTGATAAAATTGATAAAAAGAAGCATTTTTGTGTGGCTGTGTTGTTGGTAAGGGATTAAATTGACGAGTCGTATCCATCGTTGATAGAATGAATTTATCTTTAAGAGTGTCATATAAAGATTGATAAATGAGTTCGACACGATATCTGTGTCACTAAATTATAATTTTTGTTGATACATTTTATCATTGAACAAATCGTTACCCTAGGAGAATAACGGATATAATGGCATTTATGGAAACGACACGTGTTGTTGTAATGTCATGATTTAAGGTAGTCCAACTCCGTACTAAACATTTTATTACCATTTCGGCGCAAGCGTGTGTATGTCCGCATAATAGAGTGCGTGTTCGTTTGTAAATGGGTATATCCCAACAACACTTGTATCATAGTTTGGAGACCTTTCTGTTGAAAATGTGTCAGGGTTAAATCGTATACATATACATGCACAGTGCGTTAACTGGAGTGCGGGTATTAGTTACCCGCACTCCAGAGCATGTCCATTGATTGGCTCATTTTTGCTGGGGTTTACATATTGTGACGGCAGAGAAAGGGAAAGCGACAGAAATGTCATATTCAGATGTTCGTTCATTGGTTCATTTTTGCCGGGGATTCATATTGTGACAACAGGGAACGTGCTTTTATGTTTGACTATGATACAAAAGAGAAAGAACACCGGAACACTCGGCAATCTGATTAATACTCGGTGGCTACGCCCCTCGTACAAATCAGATAGCCTCGTGTTTCGGTGCTCTTTCTATTACTTATACCAGTCAAACGGTAAGTGTTCATCGTTTGTAACTGGGTATTACAGTAAGTTCTATGCTCCTTATATAATAGTAAGATCCAGGCTTTTTTCGATTAGACGTTTCCAGGTGTACTTGGAACCAAGGCAAAGAATAACACAACAAATATTAAAGTCGCATCCAGTTAAAAGAATCCCAGCCATACTGATCTTCTTGCATCTTTCCTATCCGTGAACTGAAATAACACAGAAAAGGGCACAGGGGCCGTGCAGGTGTAACCAATTGTCTAAATTAAAAATGTTATAGTTTCAACTAGCATTAACTCGGAAAACAATATATTCATGCTACGGCCTAATACTGTGAAAAATATTTTATTCCATCTATTTTCTTATTAACCAGCTTTGAATTCACTTCACATACGCTCCTTTTTATTTTCAGCAGCATAAATACAAAAAATTCTTGTTTCCCAACTAATTTATTTCAGTACTTCTACTCAATGCCGTATCAACCAGCTTAGATTGCACGTACATTAGTAAAAACATTTAACACATATTTTAAGTATATGGCAGTTTAATACAGTTTATTAAATATGCTCATTCATATTGTTTCAAAAAACCTTCAAAACAAGTTTTTCTCATTTAAAACGATTAAGTCAAGACATATAGTAAAAAAATGTTTGAGACGACCCCCGTTACATGCTTTCACAGGATGTGATAACCAAAACGAGGTTGTCAAAAAGTTTCGAAAATGGCGACCGATATGAAGTTAATATTTTTGGTCGTTCAAGGGATTGTGCTAGTTTCTTCAGCATCTTACGAGTACGTCCGTCACTTTTATTTATATTTTTGGTTTATACATGTTTAAATTGTTTATTTCTACATTCTCGTATAATTGCGCATTTATAATTTTGCATTACAAAACAAGTTTGTATTTATTTTTCTGCAGCCTTTAAAATATAAAGATATTTGCAGCCTCAAATCTATTGATAATTTCGCTAACATAATTATACCATCAAATCTCATGTTTGTTTTTTTTGCAGTCCTTTAAAGATAAATCAGCCGAGTATATCCCTCATTACAGAGCTGAATGGATACATTGGACTCACGGTATGTGTCATATTCCACCTCCTGAAATTTAAGATTAAATTTGGTTCAACGAATTAATGAATTAATAAATTCAGTAATGAACCTACACGAATATAATATTCTATTTATCACATACCCAAACCAAACACTATTTACAGTGTAAAAGAATCATTTTTCTTTGACGCACTTATATTCGCTAACATTAAGTGCGTCTTTGCACTATGTTTAAATAACGCAAATGACGTCACGGCCGTGCAATATATATTTTTACGGAGTCGCAATAGCGGCTCGGGTATGTGATCAAACATGGTTATGCTTGGTCACAAATACGCCATAGTACTGTTACAGTTACGATTTGCTACGATTATGATATGTTTCTAATTTTATAATGTCATATCATGATATGTGACGATAATGATATGTAACAATAACCTATGTCACAAGTATGCTACGTTCAGTGCAGTATGCAATATGACTTTTGGATTCTTACATTTATGTACAGCTTTCTGCTGGCGGTAACTGATATACTACCCATGCAACCGTGACGTCTGGTCATGGGCCGCTTTGAGTACATATTTTTGAAAATTTACCGAAAACTGATAAATGGTTTTGTTCAGTTTAAAAAAATGGACATGTCAGTTTGATATATTTGGCGTGGTAAGGTTTTTGGTATACACCTTTTATGATAGACTGCTGTGTAAGATATTTCAATTTTCTCTTTCATTACAATTATTGTGTTTGAACGGTATTGATATAATTATAGTCAGGTGATGGCGGTGACGTACACGTTAACCCCGGCAGCAGTGGATCCGTATATCTAGACGGGGAGGACCTTCTTTATATTATTCAGGTAATTCGGACTAAATACTGTCAAATATCAAGCCATTTATACAGTTTATACATAAATAGCTGACCTGTTATACAGATAATATGTACTAAAATAGCTACAAAAAGCCAGGTTATAGACCTTTTTACAATATGAAATTTACATAGAAACGGAAGTAGTATTTCGCGCATGCACATTCTTCGTAGGGGAAAAGCCAAATTTTTATGCTCCCCGAAAAATTTCGGGGGAGCATATAGTCGCCGCCTTGTCCGTCCGTCCGTCCGTCCGTCCGTCTTTCCGTCCGTTCGTCCGTCCCCTTTTCTTGTCCGGGACATAACTTTGAAACAACAAGAGGTATCAACATGAAACTTCTTTGTAGGTAGATACATCTCATTGAGAAGGTGTGCAGTGCACAAGAACCGTAACTCTGCCTTGCCTAATTTTTGAATTATTCCCCTTTGTTTATTTTTACACTTCGAACTTTGTCCGGGACATAACTCTAAAAGTATAAGTGGTATCAACATGAAACTTTGTAGGTAGATAGATCTCATTGAGTAGGTGTGCAGTGCACAAGAACCGTAACTCTGCCTTGCCTAATTTTTGAATTATCCCCCTTTGTTTTTTTTACACTTTGAACTTTGTCCGGGACATAACTCTAAAACTATAATAGGTATCAACATGAAACTTTGTAGGTAGATAGATATCATTGAGTAGGTGTGCAGTGAACAAGAACTGTATCTCTGCCTTGCCTAATTTTTGAATTATCCCCCTTTGTTTATTTTACACTTTGAACTTTGTCCGGGACATAACTCTAAATGTATAAGAGGTATCAACATGAAACTTTGTAGGTAGATACATCTTATTGAGTAGGTGTGCAGTGCACAAGAACCGTAACTCTGCCTTGCCTAATTTTTGAATTATTCCCTTTGTTTATTTTTACACTTTGAACTTTGTCCGGGACATAACTCTAAAAGTATAAGTGGTATCAACATGAAACTTTGTAGATAGATAGATCTCATTGAGTAGGTGTGCAGTGCACAAGAACCGTAACTCTGCCTTGCCTAATTTTTGAATTATCTCCCTTTGTTTATTTTACACTTTGAACTTGGTCTGGGACATAACTCTAAAACTATAAGAGGTATGAACATGAAACTTTGTAGGTAGAACGATCTCATTAAGTAGGTGTGCAGTGCACAAGAACCGTAACTCTACCTTGCCTAATTTTTTAATTATCCCCCTTTGTTTATTTTCACATTCTGAACTTTGTCCAGGACATAACTCTAAAACTATAAGAGGTATCAACATGAAACTTTGTAGGTGGATAGATTACATTAAGTAGGTTAGCAGTGCACAAGAACTGTAACACTGTCTTGCCTACATTTGGAGTTATTGCCCTTTGTTCATTTTGACACTTTGAACTTTGTCCGGGGCATTACTCTAAAATTATAAGAGATATCAACATGAAACTTTGTAGATAGATAGGTCTCATTGGGTGGGAGTGCAGTGCTTAAGAATCATTACTCTGCCTTGCCTTATTTTGAAGTTATTGCCCTTTGCTTATTTTTACTTTTTGACTTTTGTCCGGGATATAACTTTAAAACTATTAGAGATATCAACTTAAAACTTTGTAGGTAGCTAGATATAATTGGATAGAACTGCAATGCTTAAAGAACCTAAACAAAGCGGCTTTAGCCTGGTCTAATTTTTGAGTTGCCCTTTGTTCATTTTTACACATTGAATTTTACCCGCGACATAACTCTGATATCATCAGGAAACTTTATAGATAGATAGATCTCATTGAATAGAAGTGCAGTGCAAAAGAACATAACTCAGTCTTGCCTAATTTTGGAGTTTTTGCCCTTTGTTCATTTTTTATACTTTCCTGTGTCCAGGGCCTTCTCGGGGAGCATCACCCGGTTCAACCGGTTCTTGTATAAGTATTCAACAACTTGATAAACAATTTGATGTAATGATTTTTAAGTACTACGTGAAAGCAAAGGGAAATTAAAAAAGAATCATCTAGGCCACAAATCTATAAAGGCATCATTTGCTTTTTTTGTTAAATGTTATTTAATATAATTTCATACTTTATACCTTCAGCTAACTCGTGAATGTCTATAACTTCTACTGCATTTCTATGCGAGGACTTTTACCCTTCGCCGATTTTTGCTTTACGCAGAATGCGCATATGCGAGAAAATACCACATTCCGTCGAATTTTTAAAGCAATGGATCGCATCGTTAAAAGTTATTATTCACGAAATACGGACTACAATGCTGTCAAATATCCGGTTTTTGATATAGACTAAGTACTACCCGACCTGATTAACTGGTTATATCGGTTACTATGACAAATAGCCAGACTGTTATACTCCAAATATACATGTATATAAATAAAAAACAAGGTATATATACTGCGCTATCATTTTAAAATTGTATTCTTTAACTTGTTTACGATCTTATAGATATAAAATCTTAGGTCAGAAATTAAGTGTCCCTGGTGCTGAATCAATTCATTTTATAAAATGGAATAAATAACTTGAATTTCTGTCATTTATTCAAACTTAAAAGTAATTAAGACCGTAGAAAGGGTATATTCTTATTTTCAACACTTAACCTAGACGCAATATTTCTACATTGTACCTAGATGATCGAAAGTCAGCCTCCAGTATGGGAAGGTCGTTATGGGCCCGTATCTGATATAACGCCCTATGGATACCTAGGGGAGTACAAGGCCGGGCAAAGAGTTTATGAGCAACTCAAAGCTGTGGTAAGTTTGTGTTCAATTTCTCAATATATATTTTAAATGTCAATCACTCTGTGGCAAGTGAAACATGTGAATCTAACAGACAGAAAATAAACTCATTATACGGTTGTCGCATCATAAATTCAATGTTGTGTTGTTGTCCAGTGATTGTATACTGTATATTCTGAAAAATATTAACGAGTTTTATATCGCTTAATGTAACTTGAGAACTTTATCCCAAAAACAAATCCAAATTGTACCGCGAATAATGCTCCTAAAAAAGAATGTTATGCATATTTAACCATAACACTGGCCAGGGACTGTGTTCCCCGTCAAACTTAATACGTGAAGAGCTGAATAGGATGTTCTGATGCTATAGTAAATATGGCTCATCTTCAGACGAATCTGTACTTTCTTACATTTCGCAGGATCCAGAGGGAATGTCAATCACGTACATGAAAGTAGCCGGGGATTTCCCACCAGGCGTATCCCTTGACCAAAATACCGGAAATATCACGGGAATTATTCCTGACGCCGACGCAACTTACACATTTACGATTAGAGCTACCGATGCGCATGGGAAATTTGCCGACAATAAATTCAAAATGGTCGTACACGGTAGCTAAAACTAATTTGAATGTCTTGTTTGTTTTGGTATTGCATTGTAAAGTTTTAGCTCAAAGTAATTTTAGAGAAACTTTTGTATGTTATGGTTTTACCTCAGAAATAAAACTTTGAAAAAATAATGGTTGCTTAGCGACTTTAATCACAGAAACAAAGATAAACTTTTTAAATTGCAAATATTTTAAATGTCAGATTGATATTTTTTTTCTGCGAAGGTTACAATAGATGTTCAGCAAACCCCTGTAAACATGAGGGACTATGTACAGACATGATGGATTCTTTCTCATGTGATTGCGTCAGACCGTATGGAGGGATTACCTGTAATTTAGGTAAAAATCAATGCTTCTTGATATCGAAAATATTTTTGTATACGAATATTTTCTAAATGCACGGGCACTTTTCATGAATGTATGTGAAGTGAAAAATTTAACAGTAGTATGAATCGACCAAAAATCACACTTATTTTCATGCATCTATTGACTTGCAGACACGACAAACTAAAACATTTCAATGTTGGGTTTTTTTGTTTTTTATTATTATCTGTTGTTGTTGTTGTTGTTGTTTTGTCCGCATTTTAGAGCCATCTTATGACTTTTCATACATTAAAAATATTTTTGTAGAGATGAGATACTCAAACAAAGAGACAAAAAGGACAAAATAGTGTCTGAGCAATGTTCTCATTTGTTAAGCATAATATTTTTCTACCGTTAGGAGCCCTTATTCTCTCTTTTTAGTGTATAAGCGTATAATTAACCATCCAAAATGCTTGAATCTTATTTAAGCCGAGATTTTAATATAAACACCAAGTTTCTTCAGAATGTAACTCTTCATAATGTAACACATACCGGACCTGCATTTAAAGTAAAAATGTGCCTTATATAGAAAGTTGATAAATAATAAGCCAAATAACATATCACAAGTCTTTACGACTAATTAAATAACAATACTAAAAACATATTTTTATACTCTCGATATGGATGTTCGTAGACTGTAGAAGTAATCCTCTTGGCATACAGCAAGGCCTAAAGTATGTGACAGATGCCCAGATGACTGGTTACAATATGTTAACATCCAGCTCGGCCTCATCAGGAAGATTAAACGCCGGAATTGGATTCCGTGGAATTGACGAGCAGTCTTACCTGCAAATTGATTTCGGTAAAAAACAACCAATTTTAATTAAATTTACATCTTTTCGCGAATTATCACTAATATTAGTCAATAATCTACGGATTGCCGCGGTACCTCTTTTTAACCCCGAAATACATTTTAACACCATAAAGAACGAATCTAAAAATGAGGACTTGTTCACAAAATGTTATTCTTTACATATATTAGTGTCTATTAAAAACATGATTTCAATGAGTAGGAGAACATCACTAATTTTAGTTTTTCACAGTTGCGTATTCTCCATTATGATTTCGGTCACTAAAAGTTTGTGATTTCATGCACATAAAGTTGTAGAAAAATCTTGATACACTGCAAAAACGTTGCTAGGTTGAAATAAACAATATTTTATTACTAATCGCGTCGACGCGAAATAATAGAAATTTCATAATCAGTGTGTATAGAATAGAAAGAAACAGAATCCCTAGAAAGTTCAAAACGGCCAACTTTAAAATGTTGCAGACACGTTTTTTGAATCTGATCATGAATCGTATAAGCTTGTAACTCATGATACCGTGATTGGAAGTTTAAGGTACTTGTCATTTAAATAGCTCATACACATTGAATTGTATGCTTGCAACAAATGACACAATAATTTCTTTTTCAACACACGATTATATAATATAATATATAATTTACAAATTTCACTTTAAGGAAATACAACTGATATCTACAGAGTAGACACGGATTATTACAGCAGTTCCTACTATACTCAATATTTCTACCTACAATACAGCATTGATGGCAATAACTTTTACAACTACACCGACTATACCGGCACAACACAGGTAACATATACATCCTGTAATTACAGAATGTCGTCTGCAATACTGTTCGTATAGTTAAACTGTAGCAAAGTAAACAAAATTATATTTATTTTAAATATCAAATCATCCGTTGAAGAAAAAACTAGTCTAATAATTCTTTAATGATGACAGTGGCCTAATAAACTAAAACATTTGCCTCTCAACTGAGAATGTGTTCGAGCCCAGCCATTATCTAAAGATGTTCCTCTTGCGCGACAGTCACACTAATACTTGTTAGTTCCAGGAAGTAAGTCCAGAGTGGTTCATGTATATTTAAAGCTTCATCAGAATATTTTGGAACTTATTTCTAAAGTAACTGTCACAATTTGAGAAAAATGTGTAGCCTGACCTGGACTCCAACCTAGGATCATCGGATTACTGTTCCGCAGCCCTACCGACTGAGCTATCGTGCTGCTTAAACAGCTTCTCCCCTACATAGTGAACACTTCTGATTTGTGACATATTCCCCTGGTATATTGAAATGTGTCCTGCAATATTTAAGGGTTACAGAGCAATGTGAATTAAATTCTGTGCTATATTCAATCACAGTCTCTAATTGGACGCCAAATGTTACAGAGTAAGAAAATAGACAGCCTGACCGGGACTCGGACCTGAGACCCTCGGTACATCTGCTTTCCTAACTAAATAGTGAACAGTTCTGAACCGTGATATATGAGATCAAATGAAATGTAACCAAATGATGTGTTTTTTTAATTTTACAGAGGCTACGTGGAGCCACATCAAGCAGCAGATATTCGCAGACGCTACCTAGTGTTCTAACAGCGAGATATGTGCGGATGTTTCCGTTGCAATGGAATAGAAGTTACAGGCCGTATTTCCATGTCGAGATGTATGGTTGCTATAGCTACTAAAGTAAGACAATAGTATACAAATATTGCAATTCAAGTAGTGATTAAATATATCATTTATTGTTTGTTATATTTTACTTTTATGTTTGACATGTTATATGTTCAAGTATGAACTGTTAAAAGCTTATAAAAACCTTAAACAGTGGGGAATGGTTATATAGCAATACAAAGTTTGCCCGTTGCCATATAACACTATATACTAAGTTTTGATAACAAATTTGTTATACTGCGTGAATATAAGTAATATAAACGTCACGTGTATCCAATGAAAAGCGACGTTATAAGCTTGAAGTATTACGTATAATACTTTTTTAGTAATTTACGTCGGCGTGTATATTGATAATATGATATTATATTTACACATAAAACACCGTTTTCAAGGCACTAAAAAATTCCTTCTGACCTGATATATTTTTATAAGCATTTATTGTTTTTCTTTCTGACTGACAGGTGTACATGTTGTACTGTTGTCTGTTTTGTGTGATCCATGTCTTATGTGATCCATATAATTGTTGCGTTTTTTTCAAGACTGAATCTTTGTTTCTTTATTTCAGAATAACTGAAGTGGAATAATATCGGATCTCGAAAAAAGCAAGAAGAACACTTTGGAGATAAAGAACAATTTGTTTTGACCATAATCTACCATTAAACAACAAATAACAGTTGATTTATTTATAACATGTCATATTATACCAATTAGAAAAAAGAATGTGTATAAAATAAATCATGTTATAAAATTTAATGATTATTGGCAGTTTTTATATAGATAAAGATCAAAACAACGTGGAATTGTTTTATAAATATAACCACATGCTAATATTTAACTTGAAGGACAGATTTTTAAACTTTACATGACATAAATTCAACCATTTGTTATGTAAAAGGGAAACTTATGTGCTATAAATTAAACAAAAATCAATCTAAATTACCGACATATTTATCAAACATTGTTTGACGGCACAAATGTAGGATGTGTTTAATTTTTGTAATATGTAATGTAACATGTCTTTTTTCCTCCAAGATATAACAAAATGGACAAGAGCAATAGCTCTGACTTACATTTGGATTCAAACGTAGATGTGTTGCTGGTACGCGTTATGTAGCATGATAATTACTCTTTTGGTGTCGATACCAGGAAATATACCACGGTACCGATGTTCTTAAACCTAATAATCTTCCTACTTAGTTAATTTGGTTTGATTATCAGCAAATAATGCGATAAAATTTCAGTACAAAGGGACGTATTTTATTTTACAAAATAAAATAACACCTTTGTATTTGCCCCTTCAATTAAAATCATACCTATTTTTATTTACAAATATACCAACTGATAATAACTGATATGCCCTTTAGTTACCAATTTAACCCTCGAACAAACATTCTACATCTAGCAATACGATACATGTATATGTTTAAAACGTTCATTTTGTAATGTGACTAACTTTACTAGTTTATATCATAATAACTTAAAGTGGTATTTAAGTAAGTCATACGGATAATTTGATACTATAAAAGCACCAATGTTCATATATTTAAAACAAAATCTGTTGTTAAACACATGCAGAATAAGGCACTTTTCCGTGGATGTGAATTTGGAAACATGCAGTAGCTCGGAAGTAGCGGTAGCGGTATTAAAGTGAATTTATCTCTGCCTAACTCTTTACTTAACCAAATGAGTACTACCAATCATTCCTTATTTTTGGATTAAGATTAACCGCTACAAAAATTATTTCCCTTTCATATGATAAACACTATTTACATCAACTAGTTTCCAAATAACTTCCAAGACACATATATTTTGTACATTGAGCCATATAATCTTTACAAGGCACACATTCTAATATATATTTACTCATGATGCGCTAGAAAATTGGCACTTATTTATGTTATATTTGATCATTCACTTGTTGTATAATATACATTTATAGTCAGAAAAATTAAACAACATACGAATCTGTATTTTTTTAAACAAGTAACCATATGAATAATTCCAATCTAAATACGGCATAATTATTTAAATCTTTTTGACCGGCGCAAATGACGTATAATTTACGAAGCTACATCTCATTTCACTTCAACATGTATTATTTATTATTCATGTTCTTCTGTAATTATAATAATATTATTACCATTTGCAATATGTGACATCCTAGGTACGGTTTAAAGAATCTATTTTAAGATAGGAAATTGTGCCGCCTGACCATAACTTGAATGGGTGACCTTCGGAATATCATTACGCGGCTCACCGACTTAACAATCTGGCCGTTTGACATTTCATAATAAAATATGAAAAACGCCTAAGAATGAAATAAGAAAGACACTTAAGAATAAAATAAGAAAGGCACTAAATCACTAAATAGTACATAATGGCCAAACTATACTGAATATCTACATGAAATAATTATTTGTACGACACATTTATTGACTTATACAACTAGTAATTATATAATTTAATCATATTATCTAGTATATCTCTATCATGAACTATCTTGAGGGTGAAATTTTGGTTTAAAGTGACAGCAAGTTTACTGAGTTCCAAAGGATTCACCAATTACGTTCATAAACTAGTTTTCCTACAAACATATAATTCGCCCTCATTAGGAGCTTGTTTATAACATTGTCGACAGTTCGTTAATGGTGTGGTGAGATTTTACGATTTTTCTCGAAATCTGGTAATCATCAACCCCAAGACTCAAATGAGCAAATGTAATTATGCCAAATGAAAGGACCAATACGGTATCAACTTGAAATAACGTATGATTTGACAGGCCGGAAATCAATAAAAGATTCTCTGTTGTAATATGAACAAAGTTTCAACAACGCTCTCGCCTCCGTAGTAAAGTAGATACTTTTTTTTTTGAAAAAATCAGAATTTCTGAGGGTGGGGGTATCAGGTAAACAAATCTTCTCTAATTTTCAAATCATGGGGTCTAGTCTTTATCCCTGATTATTTTGAACAATGATCGCTCTGAGTTTAAACTCGGCTTAAATTGCCTTGCAATCCCCTCTAAAAGGGGGAGAATAGGGTTACAATGAAGGTGCATAAATTGGTGAAATATTTGTTTGAAACGAAACATTTTAAATTGTATTTGTTCTGTCTATTTCCAATGCTACAATGAAGACAACAAATCTTAAATGCATTTTCGTAAGTGAAAATTTCTATATGTACAGACAAACCTGAAAACAAGGGACACACAGGGTAAAGACTGAACATATCCTCTAAAGACGAGTGTTTTCTTTTTCGGCTACCTTTTTTGTATAATCATTGACCAGTGGCAAAGTGACCTTCATTCTCATGGTGATCTTTATTCGGAGGTGGCCTTTATCGTAGTTTTGACTGTATATAAAGTTACATTCAGCAAAGGATACTTTAAGCGTATCATCAAGCGTGCTTTATCATGATTTTATCACAGTGTGATTAAACTTTAACTTGTACATGTATATCTCACGGACGTAACCATTACATAAATCATTCATTTATATATTCAGACGATATACCTATAGTTAAAGGTAAGATATACAATTTAAATAGAGGTGTTTTTTTTCACTGAAAGTATACACATTAATTTATCATATTTAGATCAATAGAAATTGTTTTTTATGATGCATCCAGACATATATTCACATTATTCTATACAAACGAAATAGGCAAATCATGTTTTTTTTTAGATTTAATAAAAGTCTCAATTTTATATTAAAATGCCAGTTGTTTTTTCCGCTACATCGTGTGAATTAGTTAAGGTAAATTGTATAATACGTTTAAACACATACCGCATCAATATTTTCAATTAACCTCCATCTTATTTTAATTATTTTAGAATGTCGACCTCATTAGATCTTCCGATAATTGATATGTCAAAGTCATACACAGATCGGGGCGAAATGGCTAAGCTAGTTGTGCACGGCTTGGAAAACAGTGGGTTCTTATTCATTGATAATGTTGATAAACTTGATTACGATGGACTATTTAATGCTTGCAAGTGGTTCTTTGACAAACCTATAGAGTATAAAAAGACAGTAATGAGAAATTTCTGGAACCCCGAAAACAAAAACATTTACAGAGGATATTTTCCAGTGACAGAGGGTGAGCCTAGTCGAAAAGAGGGATTTGAATTTGCCAGGGATATTAAAGAAAACGACACAACTGTGGCGAGTAATAATTGGTTCTATGAAAAATCCCCTTGGCCAGAGGAAGACGGCACGTTCCCATTCAAATCATTTCTACAATCGACATACGAGATACTACACAACACTGCCCTTGAAATACTTCGTCTTGCAGCACTTGGTCTTGGAATAGAAGAAAGTTCATTTGATGAAATATTTGCAGACAGACCTTGTACGACATTCCGTCTCATGCACTACCCACCTTGGAACGGGGAACCTCCAAAATCTGCATATACAGAGGACGGGAAAATTGTGATAACACCGGCGCATACTGATACAAATTTCTTAACTTTACTTACTCGTTTTAATTACGGAGGTCTGGAAGTTCAAGACCAGTCTGGTGCATGGGTAGAAGTAGACCCAAGACCAGGGAGCCTCGTTATGAATATTGGAGATACGTTCTCCCGTATGATGGGAGGCCGGTTCAAGGCCACACGACACAGAGTAATTGATATAAAACAAGATCGGTACGCGGTCCCATTCTTTTTTACACCAAGTTATGATGGAGATATAGGAATCAACTTTATGTCTAAAGCTACAGGAGAGGGTCCAGAACATAAAGTAGAAAGGTACGGTCCTTGGGTTTTAGATGTGATAAAGTATCAGAAGAAATACTTCGAATATCGTGTTTTACCAGATATTGAACCAAAAGAGAAAGAGCAGTGAGAAAAATTTTGTACTGATTTAACTTTTACGACATGTTTGTCTAGTAATTTATAGAACAATCGTAATTTAGGAACATTTACAAAAAAGGAAGTATTCAAATTGATATAATATAAAAATACATGTAGATGGATATGTCTACATATTTCTTTTGAGATAATTGTTTGAATAGAATATCGTTGTTGGACACAGAAGATATTATGTCTATGTTATCCGAAAGGGCCTATCAAGGAATAAACTCTATTTTAGTCCCTATGCCTAGTCCCTATGCCCTAACTGCGGTTGTCTCAACATGGCAAATAAAAAGAAAGAACATGTCTTCACATGTTTTATGTTTTTCAATAAAACTGTTCTGTTTCCTTGGCACGAAATAGCAAAAATACGTCTGAACGCGCCAATAATTTGATATATTATTTACTTTCAAGAACATCGAAACGATTTAAGAATTTTGACAAAATGAATTTACGAGATTTCGATGTCAAAATGATTAACCAAAGGATACGTTCATTCAATACAATTTGAATTGTATCTAAACCAATTAATTATAATCAAATTACATGTAAATTTAAATTCTTATTCAGTCCATGCTGAGGTAGCCTGAAATAAGCTTTCGCTTTTTCAATATAACTTTAATATAACGAACGTTTATATCGTAAATATCGAATGATTTATATATGAAGATATTAAAATGGAAGACAACATAAATCTAATTATTTCATAGTTACAATAAATCACTAAACGTGACACAAAATAAACTAGCAATTTCCTTAAAGATTCCAATGCTTAGTTACACATTTACACATGGTAAATAATGGCCCTCAATATTTGGCTGTGTCATCTTTCTATACATTCTTAGTCATTAATCCGAAAATTTAAATTATTTACGAGAGTCATAAACGATCATAAACGGACATATATTAACAAGTTAGTATTCTCTATTACAAATGTATGCATTTGTGTAGTTGTTACTTCCATTGATTAAAATAGATATTAAGTTCATAAATCTGCAGCAGAAAATCATGCCTGTAGATAAAAAAACATAATTGTCTAATGGAAACATGTAATTTATAGCGAATAATAAATGATATATCATTAAAGTTAAGAATAATTCAAAAAGTATTCAGTATGAAACACTAAAATATGTAACCGAATTTTAAGTCGAACCGACACTATAAATGTCTAACAGATACATTCCAGCTTTACCAGTGGAGTAAGCCAGTGAAGTAAGACCTCATTGGTCTTTCAATGCATTCAAGCGGGTGATAGGGGGCATGAGGGTAGTTGTACTGATACATTATCCCTACAGACTCAGTCAAATCAAGTCTACAATTTTAATGAAATTTTGTCGTGATTTATGCTTCCGAGGGATCTCTTTGTTTCCAGAATTTCCTTAGGGTACAGTAGAACCACTTATCTTTCGTCAGGTAGTATATAATAGAATCCAAAGTCTACTAGCATGACAATTAAGGACAAGTTATTCAAATTTGAAACCTAAATCACCCTGCAAAAAATAACCGTGTTCCCAAAACACCCATTTGATCAACACTAGTTAAAAGTGCTCAATTGTATGCCTTTTACTTACGAGAACTAGGTAACAATGACAAGATTGAGTGAGAGAGACAGATAGATAGGAAGATAAGAAGTAACTGCAATTAATTTCTTTTTCCATGAGCCTAAATTCTACCTATAAGAAGTAATCAATATTTGATAAGAATCATTTTCTTACATATAAGCTTGTAGGTATCTAAGTAATTGGTTTGGTTTAGGTAAGATAAATGGCGGCGTATTGCTATTAAAGAGTGCGCACAAACGTACACTTAGATATCAGGTAGTAAAAACTGTACTTGCCAGTTCCCACCAACAAATATATCTGTACTTTGCGACAAGTAAGCAATTAAATTTGCTTTTAAAATATTGTCTTTTGTATACCTTGTGCCTAACAGTATTACAAAATAAACAAGTATGTACATATACGCTCGGATGGCTTCAATGTCCACTTTAGGCTTGGTCTTGAAATTTAATTTTTGGAAACACTTGAAAAATTGTTTCTTTGCAATTAAACGGCAGTGATTTTGTTATATTTTGTAAATGTTATTTTGAATACATTAGTTAAAAGATATGTTTTTAACTCCTTCGGACCTTTAATCACAATTTTTAAGGACATCTAAACATAAAGGACAATACGGTAAGGATTTTATGCTTCGTTTGAGTCAAGTAACATGATATAACAACTGGTACAAATGTGTAATTTTTAATAGTTACTAATGGTGAAACACAATTTTGCAACAAACCACTTTGGTAACAAAAATTGTCTTTCTTAGTTTTCCTACTTTCAAGATACTGGTTTGGTGATACCTTTCAAAATCAAACGACTTTGCTGAACTTATTTCAAACTGTTAAATTTAGTACAAATTGTAAAGCAAAACTGTTACATATATCTTTATAATAATGCTGCAAAAGGGACTTTAAAACAGGCGCTTATTTTATTAAAACAAAACACATTTCTTAATGGAAACAGTTTTTAAGTCATAAAATGTACTAAGAAAATAAAACTATTAAAATTGTTTACACGATTCATAATGAAACAAATGAAAAACATTGGAAAAAGGTTCTGGCCTTTTTCACCAAGACGCTCACTAAGCTCAGTTAAAATGGCTGGTCTGTGGTTCGGCAGTGTAATTTGGTAAAGAGGATGTCAGAAAAATTTAATTTTTATGAATTTTTCGTGACATCCCGAGCTAAATCGAATCTGTAGAACTTAAACATAAAATTTGCGTTATTTTTGCCTTCGACGGATCACCTTTCTAAGGTTTAATACTCTCATAGCAACGGTTTATAAAAACAACTAATTCCGTTTTTCTTTAAAAGTTAAAAGGACTTTCCATGACTCAACTGAAGACGATTATTTGTGTTAACAAAATAACAAAACAAAGATCCCTTCACCTATGACATTGAAGCATCTTCGAGATATGAAAAATGAAAATTAAGATTCTTGCAAGGTTTTATATGTTCTTCTGTTAGTAATATGCAGTGCGTCATCTTAAGTTAAAGCTAAAAGTGCCTATCATTTGGCCTTGAACATCGTAAGTATGATTATATTTCACACTGATAATGAACATAAGAAACTCAATATGCGCTTAGTATGCGTTTTTTAATCTCATTATATAAGTTGATTGCATGTCGCATGTCAGATAACATGTGAAGTATCCGATTTTCTTATCTTTATTTCTTTCTGATGAAGAACATATAATAACATATTATAGTTAAGACTTTAAGAAGCCGTATTAGCATAGCAACAGTCATCTTGATTATGTGTTTTACGCTAATTGTCATAACATGTTATATTAAAAATTACCTTCTATATCGTTTTGTCGTGTTTACTGTTATGGTTCGCCATATGTTCCATCTATTTCAAGCAGGCTTATTGCATAACTTAAAGAAAGGAAACATCTGTTGCCTGAAGAAATATTGCATCTGTAATCTGCTTATTCTAATATTGAAGGCTGTTTTGCAATGATATAACGTATAAATACGATTGTATATAAGCAATTCAAATTGAACATATCATATTCGATAAACGCAGCACGTATCATAACATTTGTAATATTAATTCTATTTTCAAGTCGTATTAAACTTAGAGATTGCATTGTTTATTGAAAAGGTTAGAACTTTTTATCGTATGTTTCTCTCTCTCTATCGATGTCGCACTGTGTACCGTTGCCAATTAACTTCACCATTGTCTGTCGTTTGTTCTATTTATTGTTCATGTGAATCATTCATTTGGAATTAAGGAAGCAACCCAGGATTTATGTTAACCCTGCATAACTATCTCAATGAACTGAGGAATGTTTTGATATCGTTAGCATTGATTTGTCTTTGAGGTTAATAAAAACATAACACTTGCGTCATCAAATACGTTTATGCAGAGAGCATTCTGTTTCTTCAAAGTGTTACAATTTGTTAATTAAGTTTATTTTGTTTATTAAATTACAAAAATTGATAAAAAAAAAATAAAATAAAAAATAAAAAAAAAATAATGAAAAATAAAAAAATATTTAATTTGTTTAATAAGAAGAAAATACCTGCACTACATATCAATTTATTAAATTTTAAAAGTTCTAGATTTTGCCGTTTAAGGTTTCTATTTTCCTATTCTATATAATTAAACGCTACCATTTAACACGATTCTACACTATGTTTGTATAACGCAAGTAAGGTCACATCAAAATATATGCACAGCCGTGACACCAATCAACAGCGTCATGGATATGTGATAAGTTATATTACGTTTATACTGATGAAATGTAACAAAATAACATTCCATAATCGTTCACCAAAAGATGATAAGCATACTTTTCTGAAATTTTAAAACATTTTTTTACCTTGCTCAGAAAAATGTCGAGGCATATACAGATTGTTAGATCTAAAGAAATTTGCAATTAACCTGTTTTCCCATGGGTTTAGGATGTACTTGCGGATAGATAAGTGATCACCATCTGTTACAAATTACCCGTTTTTGTTGTTTAATCAGAATCAAACCAATTGGTTAAAGTATGATTAAAGGCAGTTGATAGCTAAAGAGAAAACACTCAGTAACATACAATTTTAAATACCCATTTCAAAGTTGGATACGTTATCTAAAACAAAGGTTGACAATGAAATAGTAAGACACCGTAACATATATTTGGATTGCGAATCAAAGATAAAACAGAACCATTAGTGTGCTTGAATATACGTAAACAATTGGCGTTGGACACATTTTCTTTTATCTTGTCCCTCAAAGTGACTCGAACGTTTTAGGTCTGAAAATTGTCGCTCCGATCGCCATGTATCAGTATGTAGCTCTGCAAATTAACTTCACCCCTTTCTGCTATTTTCTGTTTTTGTTATTTATTGCGATAATAACTCATTTCAAATCATTGGAGCAGCATTTTTTTAAATCCTACGTAACATTTTGCTGAACTGAGAAGAGTTTAATATAAATTACATTTATTTTTTTGAAATTTATATAAACATTGTACTTGCGTCAGCAAATACGTTTATAAAACGTGCAAATAAGCCGTGTTGTTAAAAACTGAAGCTCTTTACTGTTAGTGGGTTCATTGTTTAATAGTCCTTTCAAAAATTTATACTTTAAGTATATCTATTTCATTGTTGTTAAATTTATTATCATTAAACAATGTCTATTTAAAAAAAATCGATATGTTTATTCAAAAATAAACTACTGAAAAAATTAGCAACTGATGTTCATTTTTCTTTATGTGCAAAGTATACAAAGCAAGCCCTAAAATACCTTGA